ATTTCGTACAACGAAACCCAACGATTTCAGAAATTCAGCATTCGATGCAGTCAGCTTCGCAGGTGATCGAATTGTCTTTTCGCCCAATGGTTTTAGACCGCCAATATTCGATACAGTGAGTTTCGTAGGCGATCGAGTTGTTTTCTCTTTGTTTTCACGTGTCATCTGATCCGCTTCGTTCAATACAAGCATCTCCCACTACGGCCGTTGTCTCCGTACATGCAGTCGAACGGTGATCTGCTCCCCTCGAAAATCTAACAATCGACCGTCTTGATCCACGACGCGAATCGCCAAATCCGAAATAGTTCGTGCAGTGATCGGAAGGTAAATGATCTGTGTCGGTCTTTCCGATATCTTATATCCAGGTGGAACGTTAGGCAAAAACTCGTGTAGCGTGTGCACGCTCTTGTTATTGCTGTAAGCACCAGCCGTCACGTTGCATTCAATGCGAATAATATTTACGTTCAGTATATTGATTGGCGCATCCGATTCGTGCCATTTTCGCGGTTGCAGCAACCGATTCGTCGAAAACACCAGCAACGAACCAATAGTATTGGGTTTTGGTAAAATTAATGCTGTAATCGCACTTGATTTCGCTCTTCATCGTATTGTTGTTAGCTCTAAGTATCAGGGGGTTCCCCCCTCATTACCATGCGAAAGCGATCGTTGCAAATACATGTGAATGTCATCCAGCTCGTAAGATCCTTCCGGAATAATGATTTGCTTATCATCGTTATCGTAGTAAAATTTATTATTCGACAAATTTACATTCGGTATGGTGTAATAAGTCTCAAAGTCCGTAAGACCGAGCTCGTAATCACCATCGCTCAGATTGATGGACGGAAAATAGCTTACTGCGAGAATGCTACTTTGGCCGGTGAGCGTTAACGTCAGCGACATGTTCCAACGAATACTGGAGTTAAAGCGTGCAATGACTGCCCTTAAATTGATTGTCAACCGTCTGCAGAAACTGCAAACATAGCTGTCCGCAATTGCTTTGATTATAGCGCTGATAAGGCCTGTGATTATACTCGATTACGCTATTCTTGAAATACTGTATCAGTTCCCTCGGCGGTTGAAGATTGCCAAAACTATCGAAATATATGGTGCGAGTTCCCCGTTTCGCGTACGCAACCCAATGAGTACCAGATCCCTCGAAAGTATCCAAATTTACGATTCCGCTCTCGTTCCAGTGTATCCCATCTGTTGGTAAAGTATTGCGCATAAAAATGCCTCTGAAATATGGAATACGCATACGCTTTGCCAGATGCTGTAGTTGTACGTTGGTGGTTACACCTTCTGGCATTTTAATTTTGACGTTTTTTTTTTTCTCTTTGGAACTTCTCGTCCGCGTTTGTACGGCGCGAGATGTACTCTGCGACCTTCCGTAGCACGATTATGCCGTTGCATTTCCTCCAGCTGTTTTTGCGCAGAGTTGGCGTCGTTCACGGCCTCCGCCACGCCAGCAACACCACCGGTTAACGCTTCTACAGCTGATAAGGCGGGAAGGAGAAACGGGAGGATACCGCCACGCTTTGCTATCGGTAGAGCTCGCTCCCCCTTGTTCTTCTTACTACGACTCTTTTTCTTCTTGAACCCCATTCCAAGCTTCGTCTTACCTTTCATCGCAAACAGCTGCAGCAGTCGCCCTTTCGCCGAATGTAGTGTCCTTCGCAGTTATGCGCTGGCGTGCTCGATCAGCTAAAATTCGATCTGCCTCGTGACAATTGGTCAAATCTTTGTTTCGAGAGTACGCAATATCGTGTTCTCTACAAGCTGCACCCAACGGATTTATACCTCGATCGCCGCGTGCTAAACGTTTGTTCAGGCGTGTACCCGGTCCGCAAAATTGATACCCTGGTACGTGTAGCTCAAACGGTAATTTGTTTATTAGAGTATTTACAAGTCCTGCTCCTGTCCTTCTACGCATAGTTAACAATCTTTTTTCATAGGCATTGGTCCGTCTATGTGCGTACGTTGATCTGGACGATTGTAATGCAAGTGACACCTACGAAGAGACTGGACTTCAGGATCAGGTCTTATATGTTTCGATAGCTTGTCCCACACGTAATGTATGTCGCGAGCAAAACGATTCAAGAGTACAATCTTTGGTATGCATTCCAGCTGCTCTGTAGTCAAATCAAACAGTGTATCATCATCAATCAGTACAAAAGTCATTGGGTCACGCTAGTATAAATACCCTCCCCCCCTTCCCCAACATCATCACACACCTTTTCTTTCATTTTGTACCACAGTTACGATGGGGTTCATGCGCCAATCACCTGCGATTAGAGTGACTAATGTAGAAAAAAAGGTACAGTCTGAGAAAGAAGTACGCAAACATGGAAATATGCTACTGACCTCTATACGTGGTATCATCTGCGGCCCATCGAATTGCGGCAAAACGAACGTGCTGATTAGTTTGTTAGAAAGTCCGCACGGTGTTCGCTTCGAAAACGTATACGTGTACTTGAAATCATTGCAACAACCGAAATATCGATATCTAGAAAATATATTCTCGTCGATAGACGAAATTGGTTATTTTACATTTTCGAATAACAGCGACGTCGTTCCACCCAACGGAGCTTTACCGAATTCTATATTTATCTTTGATGACGTGGCATGCGATAAGCAAAACGCGGTAAGAGAATACTTTGAAATGGGCAGGCACTCGGACGTTGACTGTTTCTATCTTTGTCAAACATATGCGAAGATACCGAAGCATCTGAAACGTGACAACGCGAACCTGCTGATCATGTTCAAACAAGATGGTACAAATCTGAAGCATGTATACAATGATCATGTAAACACAGACATGTCTTTTGAGAATTTCTGCAAATTGTGTACCGCTTGCTGGTAGAAACATATGGATTTGTAGTGATTGACAAAGGCAGTGCTTTATGGAATGGTCGCTATAGAAAAGGATTTCATGACTTTGCAATATCGTAACACGTCCAGTTATCTCCGATACGTTGAGAAAGCAGTGTTCCAACATGAGCAGTAACAGCGTTGAAGATCGTGAGAGGATAGCGAAACAGATTGCAACAACGAGCGATTTGATTCGCAGAAAGTAACGTGAATTGAAAATTTGTAAAATTGACGAAGAGATTGCGTTGAAAAAACACTTTAAACCTGTTACTGAACCACTGAAGACAATTGTCAGCAACACGTTAAGAAATTATGATCTACAGAATTACACAGATATCGAAAGCGAACCATTATCCACTCCGAATATCAAAGAATCGGATAAAAAACAATCAAATTTTTGGTTAAATTTCTCGAAACCGCCAAATATAAAAAAATCAAGATTAAGCAGTTTATCCGATATGAACCTGATAGCCTCTACACCGACTTCTACACCGATTGAGACAGTACCAACAACAACAACAACAACAACAACAACAACAACAACAACAACAACAACAAAACGCTTAACAAACGAGGATATTTTTGAAAGTCCAAACAATTATTTCTCGACATCTGTTCGAAGCCAATTGCAAACGCCGGAAGGCGAAGAAACGGTACGTAATCATCTAGGTCCAATGAGTCAAAAATACATCGCACCTTTATTACGCGGCGACGTAGACGTTGGTATGGATTACGTGTACGGTGTTTATCTCACCAATGATGGACTGATGCTCGGTAACAAACATGTTGACGTGGACAATGCGGATAACATAATTATCGAAGGCATACGATATTCGGGGACACCCGTCCTTTATGAACTGATATTTAAGATAAAATAAATTTTTGGAAAAAAATTTAACCGACTTCAAAAAGGTACAGTGAAAAGTATGAAATAATTTCTAGTTAATGTATATATAAACGCACTAGTTCTAGGTATAATTGCTTAAAAGTATGGGAAAATGTAGTGAAAAGTGTGAAATAATTTCTATTTAAACTGCATTGTTATTCACCATCGTTTGATGAATTTGGTTAAATTATTAAATACATCATATTAAATACAATGCACCTTTTTCGGAGACGGCGCAGATGTAAAAAATTTTTAATTCCGGTTTGGGTTAGCTTTTGGTAGAGGCGGCAATATTGAATGCTGTCAATGTATACATGCTTATTGTCTATGAGGAATTAATAGTTAATGTACATAGTATGTACACGGAAATATAGTGTGAGTAGATTTGGGGCTTTTTTGGAGGGGAGTGGCGGCCATATTGATTACTGCTAATGTATAAACTCTCCACATGGAAATACTGTCTGAATAGGTTTAGGATAGTATTTGGTAGGGGCGGCGATATTGAATAGTGTTAATGAATATGATGTCTAAAGTGGATGTAATGATAGCAATAATTAAAGACCATACTTTTTGTTTCTCCGACAGAAAATTAAACCAAGGTTGGCAATTTTGAATATACTTAATTTTAAATTTTGCGCGGCCTCCGAAAAAAGTGCATTGCATTTAATATGATGTATTTAATAATTTAACCAAATTCATCAAACGATGGTGAATAACAATGCAGTTTAAATAGAAATTATTTCACACTTTTCACTGCATTTACCCATACTTTTAAGCAATTATATCTAGAGCTAGTGCGTATTCATATAAATTAACTAGAAATTATTTCATACTTTTCACTGTACCTTTTTTAAAGTCGGTTAAATTTTTTTTCCAGAAAATTATTTTATATAGTAACTTCCCAACTTTTTAAACATTTCCTTGAGATCTATTCATAACTCGGATCGATTTAAATAAAAATCAATTTTTAATTAACGCCTTTTTTCAAAGATATATTTCAAGTAACTGTTATTTTTGACGTCTGATTAAAATATAATATTGTAACGGCCGAGATTGTCGGCGGGGTTGTGTGTTGGTTTGCGGCAGAACTTGAGACGCCGAATCCGCGGGCAGAGTGCCTTGATATGCAGCAATTTGAAAACGCGACGGTTCAGAGATAGGCTTGCAAGGGTGGCTACTCCAGGTTTCACCGTGCAGAGTTTAGGTGGTCAGCGTTGTCGGCTGTGCCACACTCGTGCATAGGCTTTTCCTACAGAGTTCCCCTTATCGGGCCGGAGACTGCTGGTTTTGCCGAGTAGGGTGAAGAGTCAGTTTTGTCTGCTGTGCTCTCCGACACTACCTGGTTCACTAGCCTTGGTTTGTCTTACTCTCAGACTGCCTTGACTACAAAATGTTGCCCTTTTTGTAGGCAAACACGGACCATGGAGAGTACAAGTTTTATGGTTCCTCGGCGCTACTTGACAAGACACTCTGCACCGCGTCTAGCTCCGAGCATACGGGTGATTCATTTGAGATACCGGATGATCAGTTTATAAAATTATACCGACTAAATAAATGTATGGTTACCGACGTTATAAATATCGTCGAAGAATTTGGGGAACCAGTTTCTCGGACGTCAGCATTAGACTCCCAGACAAAGGTAATTATATCATATTAATGCTTTGTCCACATGTATAGTGTTTACGAAAACAATAGTCTGATCAATAAATAAAATTTCGCACATTATTACTATAGTCTTTCTTTGATGTCCATAAAAATTCAATACGTTTGTAGGTATTCTAGGAGATTAAATGTTATTTTATTTATAAGAGACTAACTTAACTATTAATAAAATTGAAATAAACAGAGTCCGCTCAACGATCCGCTGTACGTCTCTTCGCGTCGTCTTTACCCTTCGACCCCTCAACTAGCTCTGTCCGCAACGCTTCTTTCCCTACCTACCCTTAAAGTTAAATCCTACCCAGGGTTTTTCCCAGGTAAGGGAACGTTGTCCTCGGCGGCCTCGCCGAGGCGCACCTGGGCAACATCGGCCAAGTGGCCTGATCATAAATTAAACTAAACTAAAGCTACGTTACAATGTCCTTATGTCTATCCTATAGCTAGCTAGCTAGCTAGCTAACTCTCTCTCTCTCTCTCTCTCTCTCTCTCTCTCTCTCTCTCTCTCTC